ATCCTTTACAGATGCTGATGAGAAAACTTCAACAACAATACATTTAAAAAGATGTTTGTAGTTGGATTTAACTTCATAGTGTACTTTGCTACATCAGCCCTGGTATTTAATAAAACAAAACCGAGCTTTCGACCTTCGCGGTCATCTTCAGGTTTACAATGAATCTCGTTACAACTAATAATAATAATCGAGACGGTGGTAGAACTATACCTTTTAGTTACCTAGAATTGATAGGCGATTGATCTGGGTTTTGAACTAAACTAGTTTTCACTAAATTTATCGTTTATTCCGTACGTTTTAGACTTGTATTAAGGGCGCTTTACCTTAAACATATATTTATACAATTATGAAAAAGTCTTCTGAAGTCAAACTTAGAAAAATAAAATTAAAACAAAAATAAAAATTTGCTTGATTTGCTGCGCGCGCTTTTATAACTTCATAGCTTATGTACGCGCTCTTTGTTTTGATGGTGAAGTAGCCTGAGTATCAGGCTCTCTCGAAGGGTATGAATATGAAGACCGCATGGCACTCCCTTAATTGCCTCCTTCTAAGCACTATAACTTTCTTTCTTTTGGGGCGGAGCGAGAAAGGAGAGAGAGCCTGACACAATCTTCTATCGAGAGCCATTCCGCCTCCTTGCAATGCGTGACGCGTGACAATAAATTTAAGCCAATTAAAAGCTGTTCCGGTTTGCTTGATTTCTCGATGTGGCGGTTATATGTCAAAATTTATTTGAAAAGTCGCAGCTTTTATGCCGATTTTTACCAGATTCTCAACTTGTGGACGTCTAATAAACTCTAGAGGATTGATCACTATAATCTTGAATTGTTTTACTCCGTTATAGGTCGGTGTAATGTTAGTGTTATATGAGACGTTTCCGTTAATGGGTTTGTTTTTGTACGCGTAAAAACAAACCGATTCAAGAACGGCTTGATAACGTAGTAAAAAAAGAATAAAAGACAAGCCTCTGCAGCCAGGTTACTATTAAAGCTTTCCCAAACTGTTATTCACTTATGTAGCGTGGGTTCCCTGTGGTAACCATCCCAGTGAATTGTGGGTGGGCTGTGCCCCGGTATTTAAGGCTGGGGGCACGTGTATTCGGGGTTAGTTGACAGCCGAAGCGTTTGAGAAGAACATATAGCTAAGTGCAAAGACAAAGAACCGCAGACTGCAGGATATAGGATAACTTCTGCTAGTAAACGAAGTCAACAGAGAGAATAAAAGTTTACACTTATATCAAGAGTCATAGCGTCGTTCGGTAACATAATAATTATATATATTTTAATTCCTGTCACTTCCTTTGTCCTCTAGACCAATCAGCGTTTCGGCCATGAAAYGKCCGCMGAACACGGCTCTCGATAGAAGATTGTGYCAGGCTCTCTCTCCTTTCTYGCTYCGCCCCAAACCCCTTCGAGAGAGCCTGATACTCAGGCTAATGGTGAAGTTGTAACGAGATTCATGAATTGTAACCCTGACATGTCAAGACATGTCAACTTTTAGAGGAAATGTCCTGCATACCATCTTTCAATGTCCTCCTACTTATTGTATTGCTTGACAGTATACGCACCGTGAATATGTAAGTCTTCTGGGCATTTCTTATCTCCATGGAATGGGATTATCATCAGCTACATTTACAGCGGTTTCCAATAAGTGACATCAGCATTGGAAAGTAGAATATATAGTTTGCAATATTAAGGAAAACATTTCGAAGAATAGTTTTTAATGTTCCAAAAAGGCACGCACTTCATTAAGTCAATAATAGATTCAGTAGATCTAGGAAATAAGTCTTTCGTCAACTTTCTAGACTTCTAGACTAGCCGAGTGCCTTTCYCTTCGCCTACYTTGTTTTCACTAGAGTGGACTTATTCCYTCTCCAAGCTGATCTATCTATATTCGGTCTATAGCTAACATGCATGCCTTCAAGTTGAATAAACTAGGTTTTCATAAGCTTAACATCTAATTACCTCCAGTGACTTCGATTRATGCAATAAGGACTGGGTCACTCTTGTAGGTTTGCTGAAAGACGTTGAAAAGACAGAGTAGGAAAACGTTGAATCGCAAATGGAGCTATTATTGGAAAGTTGGAATGGGGGATAGGGGAATAATGAAAAGGATGGAAGGATGAAAAATGCAACTAAGGAGACAGTGTGAAANGCTTGATTTCTCGATGTGGCGGTTATATGTCAAAATTTATTTGAAAAGTCGCAGCTTTTATGCCGATTTTTACCAGATTCTCAACTTGTGGACGTCTAATAAACTCTAGAGGATTGATCACTATAATCTTGAATTGTTTTACTCCGTTATAGGTCGGTGTAATGTTAGTGTTATATGAGACGTTTCCGTTAATGGGTTTGTTTTTGTACGCGTAAAAACAAACCGATTCAAGAACGGCTTGATAACGTAGTAAAAAAAGAATAAAAGACAAGCCTCTGCAGCCAGGTTACTATTAAAGCTTTCCCAAACTGTTATTCACTTATGTAGCGTGGGTTCCCTGTGGTAACCATCCCAGTGAATTGTGGGTGGGCTGTGCCCCGGTATTTAAGGCTGGGGGCACGTGTATTCGGGGTTAGTTGACAGCCGAAGCGTTTGAGAAGAACATATAGCTAAGTGCAAAGACAAAGAACCGCAGACTGCAGGATATAGGATAACTTCTGCTAGTAAACGAAGTCAACAGAGAGAATAAAAGTTTACACTTATATCAAGAGTCATAGCGTCGTTCGGTAACATAATAATTATATATATTTTAATTCCTGTCACTTCCTTTGTCCTCTAGACCAATCAGCGTTTCGGCCATGAAACGGCCGCCGAACACGGCTCTCGATAGAAGATTGTGYCAGGCTCTCTCTCCTTTCTYGCTYCGCCCCAAACCCCTTCGAGAGAGCCTGATACTCAGGCTAATGGTGAAGTTGTAACGAGATTCATGAATTGTAACCCTGACATGTCAAGACATGTCAACTTTTAGAGGAAATGTCCTGCATACCATCTTTCAATGTCCTCCTACTTATTGTATTGCTTGACAGTATACGCACCGTGAATATGTAAGTCTTCTGGGCATTTCTTATCTCCATGGAATGGGATTATCATCAGCTGCATTTACAGCGGTTTCCAATAAGTGACATCAGCATTGGAAAGTAGAATATATAGTTTGCAATATTAAGGAAAACATTTCGAAAAATAGTTTTTAATGTTCCAAAAAGGCACGCACTTCATTAAGTCAATAATAGATTCAGTAGATCTAGGAAATAAGTCTTTCGTCAACTTTCTAGACTTCTAGACTAGCCGAGTGCCTTTCTCTTCGCCTACCTTGTTTTCACTAGAGTGGACTTATTCCTTCTCCARGCTGATCTATCTATATTCGGTCTATAGCTAACATGCATGCCTTCAAGTCGAATTAACTAGGTTTTCATAAGCTTAACATCTAATTACCTCCAGTGACTTCGATTGATGCAATAAGGACTGGGTCACTCTTGTAGGTTTGCTGAAAGACGTTGAAAAGACAGAGTAGGAAAACGTTGAATCGCAAATGGAGCTATTATTGGAAAGTTGGAATGGGGGATAGGGGAATAATGAAAAGGATGGAAGGATGAAAAATGCAACTAAGGACACAGTGTAAAAATTTTAAGTGTTCCTTAAGAATAATAGATGGCAGTAGAATTGAGAAGCCCACTTTGCAGGAGTTTTATCACTGATCGGTTTTATTTCTACATCTCTTTCGAGAAATGACAAGACCAGACCAGAAATGTCTGTTAAAGAATCCCATCAAATCAACCTACATTTCACTTACCCCTTTATGTCTTGTGATTGCGCTCTCAGCTACGGTGTAAGCCTGACCCTTTTCCAAAGCCACATTTTTGTATTTCCCATACATTCTATTGTCACCGATTACAAACATCCCTGAAGTCTTTATTTGGTCTGGTGTTAGCTCGGCTGTAATGTAATACAGTTCGTTATTGCTGCTGGCTTTTTGGTAGTCACTAAGGTTTTCTGGTATTTCGGTCATGCTCTTATTTCTGCCACTGATTAYGATTACCTGGTACAAGCTGAAAATAAACGCGTATTATCAACGTGCAACTATAGCTAAAATGTTCCCTCGGTGAAAAAATACTCTGTTATAATTCAAAAGAATTACATAAAAGAATCAGCCATTCATGATCACTGGGGGTCGCCACCGTGTCATATAGATTTTAGTACGATAAGATTTCATTGGGGACATCTGAAATTAACGACAGGATTTTTGATGAGCATTACGTCACTGCGCAGATGGTCAATCTATCCAATTAGTTTGCGTTGGATGTTGAACAAATAAAYTTAAGGATGGATGTGCAAGATAAAAAATAGTCTCGATTGATAATGAATTAAGGACTTCTGTACCTAATTGGTCCATTGTGTGGTTTGAATGTCCATAATGTGACGTTAAAGCTGTCTTTAAGAATCAAAGGAGTTACTTGATGTTCAATACGAGGCTCTGTCGATTGAAAATGGAGCAACTTTATTAATGACAGATATAAATCCCGGCTCATACAACGGTACATACTGTCCGCTTTTGTTTCCACTTTTTCTGTTAAACTCCTGTTGCTTTCACCACAAACTGTCAACGCTGTTACCCAGAATTCATAGTGTGTCCCTGGCTGCAAKTTGTCTATCTTAAGTGTTGTTTGTTTACCATCTTGCTTTTCAGATTTGAGTGGAGATCTAAAATCAGGCCAGTATGGCTTTGAACCCTTAAAATATACCTTGCATGAAATAAAAAAACAAGAATTACGGAAAATAAAGTACTATCATTGAAAACAACGCAACAAATACGTCTGAAGGTCTTGGGTTGGAATCCCAGCGAGGTCGGAAATTAATTTTTCCAAATATTCCTAAGCGTCTTTCTCCCGGAATTGCCTCCTTCTAAGCACTATAACCTTCTTTTATTTCTATATCGTATTAAAAAAATT